CAAGAAAAAAGGTGGTTACACTCTTCAAATATTACAAAATGGTAATTTTGGAGGTCACCGCCATGGATCAACTAGCATGCATGCAGGGGTGGACCAAGGGTTACTGCCTGAAAATTTTAAATTCCGATATAATTTATATATTTTCCTTGTAATTTCTATTAATAATCGAATTTCGCAACCTTATAGTTATAATTAATATAAGTTGCTACGCTCCCAACATAAAATACTGCTCCCTTCTATGTATGCATGTAGTAAATCTCTAAGCACCACAATTTCAGTTTGCTAGTAAAACTCTATAGGATATCATAGACGAAATAACTTTATATTTAATAACTTACATCATAAATGAAAGGTACGAAAATATAAAATGAAGATCAAACCTGTGGATCAACAGCATCATTATAAACGGGAGACGCTGTGTGAAAAACACCATCACAACCATCAACGACAGAATCAAAGGAACCATCTTGCAATAGATTTGCTTTAAACAACTTCAGCCTGCTCTCAGCACCTTCAAGTGCGAGCAAGTGTTGTGTCTTTCTTGGATCATCTATTGAGAAATAACAAGTAATTACAAACACCAGAATTTAGATACAAACATAAATCAAATGGAAAAGGAACTCACTGGGATCGCGGACAGAGGCTCTGACAGTGTAACCACGGAGAAGAAGCAGCTTAACAATCCATGATGCAATGTAGCCAGAAGCTCCAGTAACGCACGCCGTTTTTCCTTCTCCACTGCTCATTTTCTTGGGTTCTTGCTTCTCTCCATTTATTTGGTTTCTTGCTCTGTTTTTTGGCTGGGGATTGCTTATCATTTTCTTATAGTTATTTCCTTCTCATTGACAGCCCCTTTCTTCCAATTTCTAGCTTTATGGTGTTCTGATTTGGTAAAGTTTTAGGATGATCAAATTCGACTACATCTAAGGGAGCAGAACCTCCAGAAAAGCAAATGTCTAAGGTGGGAAAATGAAGGGTTAATCGTATACATCATTAGTAGTAGAAGAATGAGAAATATCATATAGAACAATAGATGAGAGACTATGAAGAAGCCTTTTTCACTCCATGAGGTCCGTATATATATTAATAGATTCGAAAATATAATTTAAGGTATATATTAATAGTATAAAATTTTTAAACTAGATTGACATAAATAAAATTTTAACATGAATATCATCAATAAAATAAATAATATAAATATTTACACATTAATGGTTAAAATAAAAATTTACTCAAACTTTAGTGGTTCTTTATGTAATTTACCCTTTGAGGAAAGATAAAACTAAAGAAAACATGTTTATCATGTAGCAAGTTGTATTACATAAAATATTACTTAATTACTTAAATTTTTATCACGTCCAAATATCACAAATAATATAAGTTAAATTATACTGAATGTCTCTTATATTTTCGGTTTAATTAATTTTATAATCGGTTTAAAAATATATATTTTTGATATCTTACGTTATCGACAGAGGCGGACCCAAGATAAAAATTCAGGGGTTGCAAGAGTTATGGGGTGACACTTTTAAAGGGTGACACTTATATTAGAGGTGACACTTGTAGAGAGATTATCTGGGATACCCCGGATATCATGGAGGTCCGCCTCTGGATAAGGTGTTGTCTGGGATATCCCAGACACCATGGAGGTCGCCCCTAGTTATCGATCTATTTAATTTTAACCTTCTATGGTTAACTTTCTGTTAACTTCCGGTAAGATATATTGCTTTATGATTTCATGTTACTTTTAGAAGGTTTTGGTGAGTACATTGACGTGTTCATCTCATATTCATGCATCGCCTTTTGAGTTTTTGATAACGATCCCTTTTAGCTTAAAAACAACCCTGATTTAGGGTTTTGAGGGAAAATGTGCAATGTGGATTCGTGGGTGCTGTAAATCGCTGATACAAAAGGAGAAGAACCCCAAAAAAGGGAAAACAGCCATAGCTAATGTTGAGAAATGTGACGGTGTAGGAATGGTTAGGGAACCCCCAAGGGATCGTTGACGAGTGGAAGATCACCGCCTTCCAAGTGTTGCAAAAGTTCTGCATCTTTTCTGCTTTACTTGTAACAGAAATCAATGGCGTTTTGGGCTTATTTCGTTTTTTTCCGAATCACTACTTTAGTGCCCAGCTTTTTACATGAACTGGTTGTCAGGGATGGTCCAGTGTCCCTCAAATATTACCGATAAGAATAAAAGATTACTAGAGAAAATGATTACTGAGAATGTTGTATTTTATGTTTAGTTGATTTAACAGTAATGTAAGATTATCGTGTTTGGTTAAAGAAATAAAAGATTATTAGAATGTATATTTGACCAATTGTTCTTGTTATATATTTATTTTTTAACAAATTAAAAAATATTTATATATTCTCTTTAAAAAATTTAAATTCATAACTTTTTTTTACAAAATTGAAAATATAAAAAGGTTTAATGAAAGTGTAAAATTTTATTTTAACCCCTGAACTTCATATAAAATTTTAATTATAGTTTTTTTTTAAATCTAAAATAGTTTAAGGATAAATTTGTAATTTAATATTCGTAGAATTTTTATTATTCAATGACAGAATAAGAATATTTTTGAAGAAAAAAATTAAGGGCATTTTAGTCCAAAACACCGATAATCCATCAATACCTAAGGAAAGAGAGGTAATTATATTCCCGGTAATATATCCCAAAAAATCTACTATTGATAATGTAAGATTATCGGGAATGTCAAATATTTAAATTCAATAATTTAAATTACGATCCTTTATCGAGTCAAATATTTTAAAATTAGATTCACTCATTCTAAAAATATTTCATCAAAATAAAAAGGATCGTAATTTAAATTTTGAATTTAAATTTGTAAAAGTTCTGCCATTTTAGATAACATATAGTCAAGATAGTTAATATTGGGTGCTGTGAGAGTGTTTATCCTTTCTGATGCCTTATCGAATCCTGAACCCTTTAAAAATAAATCTTTAGTTCACGCAGACTAATTTTTTTTGTCTTTAAAATTATTTTTGTTAAAATTATTTTGAATGACATTTTTAGTTATTTGACATACCTAACTTAAAAGTATATAACGACTCTAATTAAAAATTTTCAAAAATCTCATATTTTCCTTAAAATAAAATAATAATTATTTTAATATTAATTATTAAAAATAGTTATATAACAATAATTTATTTACTACCAATATGACTCAGTTTATTTACTCTATTTTTTAAATGCGCTTTGGTTCTTCTTTGTTTTTATCATTTCGATCGTTTTTCATTTTCCGTTATTTTTCCAAAACTATATTTTTAAACCGATAATCTAAATTAGACACACCAAAAACATAAAGAATTCCTAGGCCTGTAAATGAACTGAACGTTCAGCGAACCGTTCATGAACCGTGCGGCGGGAAGTTCGTTTATGTGCGTTTATTTATTAAATGAACGAACATGAACAAGATTTTGTGTTCGTTTAATTAAATGAACGAACATGAACAAGATTTTGTGTTCATTTACGTTCGGTTATGTTCGGTTATGTTCGGTTATGTTCGTTTATGTTTGTTCGGTTATGTTCGTTTATGTTCATTCTTTTATGTTTAACCCAATCTTCTTAAATCAATTTTGGTGACCAATTTGTAAGTATCTTAAAAATATTAATTAATCTGATATTCTGATGATCAATTCCATAATTAACCCAATTTTATTTGGAGATTAAATCCAATATGTTAACCCGTGAGGCACCTCACACCTATATTCATTTTTCCCTTTTTTTCCCAAACCTTAATGTTCACTAGAGAGTGGAGACGATCACTGAAAGCTTCAAAACAAGTTATATTATAGTACAATCTGAAGTTTTACAGGTATGTTTTCATCTATTTCTCTGTTTTATTTGGCTTAATAGTTAATATGTAAAGTTATTGCGGATATCTTCACATCTAAAACTCAAGAAAATATCATACTTCTTTCTAGAAATAAATGGGAAGATAAAGGTAACAATCGAAAGTATATGAGCATCAATAAAGAGAAAAACAAAACAAAGGTTTCTATGCAATTTCTACAAAAGAGTGTAATAGCGGAAGTAATATGTTTTCTAGGAAGAACCCATTAATAATTAGAAAATACACTTTGACAATGAACTTTTGTTTTTATAGTTCTTGTGTGACATTTAGTTGTGGAGTAGACTTTAAGTACGTTAAAATTTTGAATGGTGGTTTAGCAATAATATCAGTTACGATATGTAACATCGAAGGGATTTCGGATCTATTTTATTGCCTTGTAATCTAATTTGTACCGTTCGAAATCTTCATGCTGTTAAATTTTCTACTCTGCCAACGGAAAGGACCATTATTAACAAAACTCACTAAAGTCTGACATTGATGTCACAAAAATTTTAGCCGATGAATTTATTATAATAACGTAATGGAAAATGATTGTTCATATGTAATCATGAACTACTAAGATAAATGTTATATCGTTAAATTAAAGTCGTGTGAATCATTTAATATCTTTAAAATATCGATCGAAATATTTGATATCTTCAAACATTTCATCACTGCTAATCAGCTCTTACGCTATTTATCATTGTAGATTTGGTTGATTTGCATTGTCGACTATTTTTCATGAAAGAATAATAGAAGGTAGGGTCTTCAATGTTTATATTCGTTTATGTTCGTGTTCATTTATGTTCGTGTTCATTTATATTCGTGTTCATTTATGTTCGTGTTTATTTATGTTCGTTTATTTATTAAATGAACGAACATGAACAAGTTATATTCCTTAATAAATGAACATGAACAAAAAAAATTTTGTTCGTTTATGTTCGTGTTCGTTTATTTATTAAATGAACAAACATGAACATATCTTCGTTCGTATACATTCGGTTCATTTACAGGCTAAAAATTCCTCTATAGTTAAAAAATAATACCAAAACTTACTTGTTCACAATTCTGCTTCCAATTTAAGTCGTTGTCTTTTCGTTGTCAATGACAAGGAAATAAGATAAGAAAATGATTCACAATTTCCGATCGGCCAAAGGGGAAAAAAACACAGCAAGAAACCCAAGAAATAGAGAGAAGCAAAACTCTCCCAGAAAGGAGAAGAAATGAGCAGTGGAGTAGGAAAAACGGTGTGCGTTACCGGAGCTTCTGGTTACGTTGCATCATGGCTTGTTAAGCTGCTTCTTCTCCGTGGTTACACTGTCAGAGCCTCTGTCCGCGATCCCAGTGAGTTTCTTTACCATTTTATGTTTTTGTTTGAATATGAATTCTGGTGTTTGTAAATTGTAATTACTTGTTATTTCTCAATAGATGACCCAAGAAAGACACAACACTTGCTTTCACTTGATGGCGCTGAGAACAGGCTGAAGTTGTTTAAAGCAAATCTATTGGAAGAGGGTTCCTTTGATTCTGTTGTTGATGGTTGTGATGGTGTTTTTCACACCGCATCTCCCTTTTATCACGATGTCGTAGATCCACAGGTTGATCTTCACTTCTTTATCTAGATAACCCTTTTTTTGTTTCTTATTCATGTATACTAGGGATGAGTGTTCGATCGGGTGAATAGAGTAAAAAAGTTTCGAGTTAGTGAGTCAGGAGTCATATTTTATAAAAGAAATTTTATTTGAATATGTTTTGAGTCAAGTCGAGTTCTGCTCACACCGAGTGTATACCATAGTCCATTTGGCATGGTGTTCATTATGCAAGCTCTAAGTCCGCTACCAAATTGAAATTGTTTGGTGCTTAGAGATTTACTACATGCATACTGGGTTGTAGCTTTATTTCTCTTTTGATTATTAACTTTTTGCTCTTTGTTTCTCATATCAGGCAGAATTAATTGATCCTGCTGTGAATGGTACATTGAACGTTTTGAACTCATGTGCTAAGACCCCCTCTGTCAAACGATTGGTACTGACATCTTCTATAGCTGCAGTTGCATATAACAGAAAACCTCGTACACCTGATGTCGTCGTGGATGAAAATTGGTTTACCGATGCTGATTACTGTAAGGGCTTAAAGGTCTGTATGCGTTCTATCTCATCTTACATTGTATTTGGATTAGTGTTGTGTTTTCTTGCGGAACTTCAACGTGTTATATCGAAAAAATTATGGAAAAGTAAGCGAAAAATGGATTATATGTGGAGATTTGATTGAATGAAAACGTGCTTAATTAATTTTCATTATAATGTTGTGGTTAGGCTTACAAATTTCAATAGTTTAGTTGTTTTCCGAGTATTTTTCAATGCTTGATGATTGGTTCACTTTGTATCAAATAGGAACTCTAGCCAGTTTATATAAACTCTTAAGCCTGTATGCTTACTCTATCATATTGCAAAATGGGTGCCAATCCCATAATTTCTGCAGATAGTGAGTGGAAACTGTTACCCTTCTGACTTGTAACAGGCTACTTCGTTGCAAGAAGTAGATTCTGTTTATCACTATTGTCATAACCATTTTTTTTTAAAACTATTTTTTATTATTTTTAAAAACGATTATGATTTTAACTTTGGAAAAATTGGTGATTTGGAATTAATTTGGATTAAATTGAATAGAGTCGCCATCGACCTTTGGATTAGGTAGGTCAAATACCTAAAAACGTCTTTTAAAAACAATTTTAAGAAAAATAATTTTATAAGACAAAATTTTGGTCTACGTTACCAAAGATTCATTTAAAACAGGTTCGGGAGTCGGTTACATGTGGGGAAGGGTAAGCACCCCACAACGCCCAAAATTGGTACTGTGTAGCTTACACATCGTCGTAAATGGTGGAAATTACAATTTGAATATGAAGTAAAAAATGATCTATTTATTGAATATTTGTTGAAATAATAGAAATACTTCACTTGGTAAGAAATCTCAAGATTTGCAATCCTCCAACGGGAAAGCTATCTCATCTATTTCTTATCTATAAAGTATATCCTATCTTTGAATTACCACTAAATAATATCGTCATGAGTAGAAAATAAAATATGCTTAATTTATGTATCGTTAATATCAACATAACAACCATTAATACAATAAAAATTATGAAAATAGAATAATAAATAAATTATGATCTATTTATTGAATATTAGTTAAAATAAAAAAAAAATCCTTTTATCGATAAGAAATCCCGAGATTTGCAATCCTCCGCCGGGAAAGCTACCTCGTCTATTTCTTATTTGTAAAGAATATCTTCTCTTTAAATTAAAAGACAATGACGAAAATTGACATAAAATACATCATATTATACTTTTCCAAATCATACATCCCTCATATTAAGATCCAACGAAGAAATAATAATAAAGATTAGAATTTAAATATTAAACTATGTGACCATCAAATAAATTAATCAAAAAAATAAAAACAATAAAAATAATTTCTATAAGCTTGTAAAAGGAAGAATTTGCATTTTTTATTTATTCAGTTTGAACGTCGTATCAGATTGTACCACTTCGATCAAGTGATACTTTCCACGCCCGTTCTATAAATATGTGTTCTTGAAAATAAAATCAAATATAATGAAAATAAATGCAATTGGATATATAAACATTTACGTTAAATTATATTAAATACATTACTTACATAATACAAATAACCATAGAATATGTAAAATACATTCATACATAAATAACTAAAATAAAACTAAGTTAACATTACAAACCAAAATACAAACCAAATAAGCACATATGATAATTTCAGGGACCAAAATACAAATACAGAAATTTAAAGGGCTACAATCGAAGAAACATAAGTTAAATAACTAAACTGAAATTACACAAAAACATGAAGGATAAAACAAATATTTAAACCAAATGCCAAAACAGTGACTAAAACAGAAAATGCATAAATCTGAGGGCTAAATTCGAACATCAGCTAAAATTACACAACACATGCAAATAAGGACTAAAACGATCATTATATGAAACAAGCAACTAAAAATCTAAACACTTAGAAAATATAATACTAATCATATAGGATTAAAACGGAACAAGATGTAAATAAAGAGCTCAAAATAGAAAGATGAAATTTCATTTAGGATCATATTACAACCATTACAAAGCTAAAGGGATTTAAAATGTAGTTCACCCATAAATGCTAAGGACACGCGTACAAGATTACAGAGATAAGAGGACCAAATGGGCTATTAGCCCTTAATCCCATCACTCGGCCTCAAAACGACGCCGCTCGACGTCTGAAATATAACCCTTTTAAGGGTTATTCTGAAACCCTAAAAATCATATACTCTCCCCCTCATTTCCTCAGCCGATCTCCCTCTCTCCTTCTCATTACAGAGAGCCGAAAAGGCTCTCAAGCTTCTCCTTCTCAACCCCTTTTTCCAGCAAACAGAGGACCCAAAACTCCCCGGCCACCGTGGATCGGTGGCCATGGGGAGTAAACTCATCTCTCTCTCCCCTAAAAACCTAAGCGACTCAAAACCCTAAAAATCACCTCACTCCAACCCTAACCAACCTAGAAGAGGAGAAGGCTTTACCTTCAGATACGGGGCTAGCCGAGATCGGAGAAGGTCACAACGAGGTTCACGGTGGTGGTTCGAGGAAGAGGTAAAACTTTCTTTTTTCTCTCTTTTTTTTCTGTTTCGATTTTTTTCTCTCCTTTTCTGGTTTCTTTTTTTGTTCTTTTATCTTTGCTTCCCTCTGGATTCCTGGTGAGATGATGATGATATCTAGGTAGCTAGGATTTGATTTCTCTGATTGGGTGAATAAAATCCAGATTTTTCGGGATTTTAGGGTGCTATTCTAATGGGTTTTTTTTAGATTTGGGTAAGTTTAGGCCACTGTTATTTGATTGGGTTACTGTTTTTACAGGAACCGGTCACTGTTCACGCAGGAGAGCAGTCGGCGGCGACGGGACACCTCGGCTTGGTGGCTCGGTGAAGATCAACGTGCGGCTGGGGATTGGAATCTGGCTTGAGCGGCGGCTGTGTAGTTAGGGGATTAGGGTTGAAACCCTAAATTGATTTAGGGTTTGAAACCCTAAACTGATTTAGGGTTTGAAACCCTAAACTGATTTAGGGTTTGAAACCCTAAACTGATTTAGGGTTTGAAACCCTAATCTGATGGGTTGTTGGGGACTGGGATTGGGCCAATTGGGCTTCGGGTTGTTGGGCTCCGGGATTGGGCCAATGTAATCTGAATTGGGCTTCTAAGCCTGCAAAAAAAATGTAATATGTAAAATTAATAATAATAATAATTAATAATAATAAAATAAAAAATAAATAAATATAAAAGACCCGGACAAAAACGGGTGTCAACAGCTGCCCCTCTTTGCACATACTTGTGTTAACAAGAACAGTGCAAAGACGACAAGCCAACACGTTTTTGTCTGGTTCTCCCTTTCAAACTTAGAAATTGAATAATGTTGATTGTTGGGGACGACACTGCTCATACGTGATGAAGAGTTCGGGTCGTCTAAGGGAAACACGATTACGATTCCTACATGATGAAGAAATCTGGTCAAAGGATGACACGACTCATACGCGATGAAGAGTTCTGGTCATCTTTAAGAAGGGTGATAACTCGGTTCCTACGTGATGAGGACGGCTGATTATCTAAGGTTGACACGGCTCCTACGTGATGAGGAAGTCTGGTCGTCTAAGGATAGATGACATGGTTCATACGTGATGAAGAACTCTGGCCATCGTTAGGAAGGGTGATAACTCGGTTCCTACGTGATGAGGACGGCTGGTTATCCTAATGTTGACACTCTCCTACGTGATGAGGAGATCTGGTCAGTTGATGTTGACTGATTCATTGCTTCAATAATGAAATAAGTCTCGAAGATCCTGTAAAAATGGTCATATGCCATGATTTCATGTTAGCAATATGCCCTAAGGATGATCTAAATGCATATTTAAAGAGTTATGCTCAGTTCGATCCTGGCATTGGGAATCTCTCATACTCCTTGACCGGAATATGCGATATTTATGCGTTTGTCCATGCCTGGTTACTTCCTTGACCTCTCATTAAATATTCTTTGACTTGGACCTTCTGATCTACCCCGAGAGAGTTTATCTTGCCTCTTTGATTCTTTGGTCATTGATTGATTTTTCAGAGAAAATTCATTCAGAATGGCCTTTCCTTGTTGCATGCCTTTAAATTGGGACTTCTTTGCTTGGGAAAAGTATGATTATGTTGGAACTGATTTCTTTAATTTAAACCCTCTTTTTCCTCAATGATTTGTTTAATGATTGATGGGAGCGTGCCTTTGTATGTGTTCTCTGGCGAACACCTGTTTCAAAATCCCCATAATCTGACACTTTTCAGAGTAAAGCATAGTAACCGATGTTGTTATTGATTAGTAATTTGGTGAATATATGCGAGGACATTGAATCAAATTCAAAAATTTCACAGAAGATAGATAATGAGAAAGTACAATCTTTTGGGACAAGAAAGCAAGTATATACAAAGAAAAACAATGGACAAATATAGTGAATATCAAATGCTGAGTCCTTCTATTTCTTCACCCCAAATCTTTCTCGAAAGTTGACATGTGTTTCGAAGATTCAGATCGTACAAAAGATGTGTGAGCATGAGAGTCTTTCCCTAAACTGTTAGGCTTCCGAGGGAATCCACCATTTCAATTTCTGATTATTCGAGCCGTCCATTACGGATTTTCAACTCGAATCCTCCTTTGGTTTCAAGATGCCCATTTTGGGTTTTCATTTTGAACCCTCCTTTATTTATTTTTCTTCTTTTTTCATTTTTTCATTTCATTTTTTTTTTCATCTTTTTTTTTTTTTTTTTTTTTTTAAGTGTAATATCGCTTGACCGAATCTGAATTCACAGGATTAGGCAAATCTTCTCCATCCATTTCTGTTAACACCAAAGCTCCTCCTGAGAATGCCTTTTTACAACATAGGGACCTTCCCAGTTCGGCATCCACTTCCCTCGAAGTCTTTTTGCAAAGGTAGGATCTTTTTAGTACCAATCACCTTCACGAAATTCTCGAGGTCTGACTTTCTTGTCATATGCTCGTATCATCCTTTTCTGGTACATTTGGCCATGGCAGATGGCTCT